CGTGAGTCACAACGTGGTAATGTGTATCCACACCTTCCGCATAAAGCACTTCCTGGTCCTGCGTGTCGTTGAGTTTATTCCCAATTGTTTCAGTCCCAGTGGTTTTTAGCATCATCCATATGAAAGGGATGAGATTTCAGTTACAGTAGTGTGTGTGTGTGTGTGTGTGTGTGTGTGTGTGTGTGTGTGTGTGTGTGTGTGTGTGTGTGTTTCCTCCTTTTGTGTGTTAAACCTTGAGTCCTTAAAAAAGGTTTATATTCAACTAATTTGCAATAGAGAATATGTTTTGGGCATATGACGATAAAGCGCAACAAAACGCATAACAAATACCTTTTCATGGTTATGTTCAGGCTTCTGAAGCACTAAGGTTAGGGAATAATTGTGTGTTGACTTTTTCATTATTTAACCAAAACTTTAATCTTTTCTTAACCACAAACTAATTACGCAACACAGCCTGCAAATCTGACACTTTAACTGCTTTAATGTTTTTAACTTTAAACAGCCACTAATCTACCCTTCATATCTTCGCTGAAACTGCTGCTTTGTAATCCTGGCAGTCCTCATATTTTCTCCAAAACATATTTAGCAAAGCAAGTTGTTAGAATATAAATACATTTATTAGAAGATGGAGTTAGTTATCGTTCCATCAGATAACCTTCCTGTTCTCATCCCGTCCTCAGAATGGGGGGAGATGCAGAACATCACCACCACACGGGAACAGGTGGAGCTGCGAGGGCTCGAGAAGTTCACCAACTACAGCGTCCAGGTGCTGGCCTACACACAGGCGGGGGACGGGGTCCGCAGCAACGTCCTGTACATCCAGACTCGCGAGGACCGTGAGTACTCACAGAAGTAGAAACTATAAAGAAAATGTCAGCCTTTAACTTGTTTTTAAATATATTTTAGTGTGGAAAAAACGCTGAAGGTATGCATGCGCAGAATATGGGGTGAGGGTAAGGGGGGGTGGGAGATAGGAGGGGGATATATAAAAAAGAGTGCTGGGCTGTATCTCAAACCCATGACAAAAGCTCATTTATGCTGCGAAGCTCCATTAGTGGTGCTAATGAGAATTAAGAGGCTTTGGGTCTCGGCTCAGGACTGAGGGGGGGCAGGCGGTAGACACTGGGGGGGAGAGGGGAGGTGCCCCCTCGGAGCATATACCATGCAGGAATCAGCCATCAGCTCGGGCCCTGCATCCTCTCCACCAGCCTCTTGCCATAGGCAGAGGGATTAACTCCTCTTGGATTAGAGAGAATGAATGTTCTGTTTACACCATTGGAGGCGGGATTACAGACGGATCCATGTCTCTTTATAAAGGAGGGGGAGGAGGAGGGGCCTCAGGGTGGAAGATGGAAAGATAGAAAGGTGATCACACGGGCTGAAAAAAAAGGAATAAGCCATCCTCCAAAAAAAAAAAAAAAATAGAAATGTCAAAGCCGAGGATTTCATTTTCTCAGCCAATTTAAATTAGACTGCAGCGCTCTCTGGTATTCAGCTGAGCGATTCCTCCCTTTCCTGTGACACACCCTCTTCTGATTGGCACAGCAGTGAATTATGTATTCATGTAGATGGGGATTTTTGCTCAGCATCATCGTGCCTCGCTCCCTCGTCATCACCGGGCCGTGCTGGCTGTGTGTCTGTCTGGAGGCCTGGGCAGATCTTGGGCACCAGATGGGACTTAACTCTCCCCCCTCCCACTGCCACTCCTACTTTGACATAGAGGTCCAGATATGATAATGATGACTGCCTACCCTGCCCCTCCCCAACACCACCACCACCGCCATCATCACTCCCCCAGGAGCTGCACCTATCACTCTCGCCATTCTCTCCTCCACGCCTCCCTCTTTTAAAACCTCCCTCACTACATCTTGTCTTTTTTTGTTTTCATCCCTTTTATCTCATGTAAGGTGCAAGATAAAGGAGTCCTGTGTGAATGACCCGGGGCCTCAAGTGTAAGAAAAGAGGAATAGGGGGTTGAATTTACTGAGTTTTGACGTCTCTTCTTTAGGCCCCAGATGAGGCCCACTGTCAAGTGGAAGTCATATTTATGGAGGTGGGTGAATAGTCCTCTCACTGAGAACCAAATAGTGTAAAGCCAATGCGACAAAAGCCTCATTGTTCACCTTCAACAGTAGCCAGCGTCCCGATGTGTCTTTCTTCATCCGTTTTAAACCCTTCTTACGCCTTTAGACTGCAATGAGCGTATTAAGTTTTGTCCAGTGTCCAGCTTAAGAGGCTAGCGGAGGATCAGGCGCTAAGTGTCTAATCTGTTTGCGAGTTAAGAGAAAGCTGGGTGTCACAAAATCAGAAGTGCTGACCAGTGTCTGAGCGAACATATGTCACCACCGTCCACCCAAAGGGAGTTCATCCAAGTCCTCCCAGAGCGGCTTAGTGCGGGATAAGACTAGCAATCTGCAAACAAGCCTGCTCACTTTAATGGGCACCCGACACAAAAACAGATGCATTTGCTGATGTTCCCTTATGTGTTCTCTACAGTTCCTGGTCCACCGGCGGGCATCAAGGCGGTCCCCTCCTCTCCGAACAGTGTGGTCGTGTCCTGGTTGCCGCCACTCAAACCAAACGGTGTTATCCGCAAGTACACCATCTACTGCTCCAGCCCGGGGTCTCTGCAGCCGGTGAGTCCTTCCTCTGTGGGCGTGTCTCGTAAGGGGCCAGTTAAAAAAATGCTCCATGAGATTGAGAGGCTAGCAATCTGTGAACTTGATAAAAATCCACTAGTGGAAATTAATAATTTGTAACCACTTCTGTTAATTGGGCCTGTACGTGTGTGTGCGCGTATCTTTACGAGTATCTCCCTTTCACCGTGTTTGCACCATCGCTTTATTTCCTGCCCTCCCAGATGAACAGATGAGGTTGTCTTGGCAACGTGATGAGACGTAGATATGCAAATGAAGCGGAGAACAAGCTCACACATGCACACTGCCGCATCAGAAACACACACACACACAGACATCACATTTAAAAATGTTTCTATTAATACACGCGTGTGCGGCATTTTACTTGTGTTGAGATCTCATGCGCACACAAACACCCGCACAAACAAGAAGAGTGAAATCTGATATGAGGATAGAATCTCACTTTCTTATTATTCACAAATACTCCTCCCTCTCTGTGCATGAGTGCCATGTAAATGAGCACAGGCAGGGAGGAGAGCGGAAGGGAGGGAGGAGGGGGGGAGGAAGGAGGATGAGAGAGAGGGAAAGAGAAACACCATTAGAGGTAGGGAGCGACTGAGGGGGGGGAATGGGAGGAAAACAGGGAGATGAGGGAGAGAGGGAAAGGAGGAGCAGAGGAGGGTATCAGTCACATCGAGATGAGAGTGCTTTTGTCCGTCTTTTCATTATCTCCCTGTATCACTCCCTGGATCACCACAACACCTCCGCTATGCTGGTGGAATGTTCGAACGCACCCCCTACACACACACACACACACACACACACACACACACACACACACACACACACACACACACACACACACACACACACACACACACACACACACACACATCCTCCCTCCCTTCCTCCCTCCCTCCTTCCTCCATCCTCTTCACTGAGCTAGACAGAGGGGGGTCGAGGGAGAGGGGGAAAGCAAATGCTGAAGAAACTGAAGATGAGCACTGAGAGATGAACAGATTAAAGAGATAGAACAGAGGATCGACTTGAGAGAGAACCGTGTTTTTGCGAGCGTGTTGGCATGTGTGTGTTTTCGTGCCTGCAGGTGTGTGTGCGTGCGTGAATGTTTTCTCAAAGATGAGTTTGTAGGGAAAATATCTACAGGAACACATGATTTAATCCAGCACTGAGGCCTAAAATGACGGGGGTTTTTGTTTATGCGAGGTGAAATCATTTCATTTGTTTCCAATTCATTTAGACCAGTGGCGTGATCTGCTCTATTCTGTTTTGTTTTTTAAAAAAGGGGAAACCCAATAACCCATCTTAACACATTTTGTTATTCGTCAATGTATTCGTCACAACTGTTACATTTAGATTTCCATATTTATAAATACATTGTGGTTTTACATCTAAAACGTTAAAGAACATTGTCACTCACTTAAAACATTTAACTTGGGTGTCGAAGGTAAATAAATTCATCAATGAGTGAATCACTACAATCTAAATGACATTTCCATTTATCATCCTTTTAATCAATAGAGTCCATAGAGAGGTCATTCCAGGCTGAGAGTGGCCTCCGACACGTCTCCATTCAGAGAACCTGCAGATACTGTATACGCAGCAGAAATACAAACATTTGACAAATTAAACATCTCAATGCTTAAATTAAATAAAGCAAAAGGGAATTACATACATTTCAGTTACACATGAAGTGTTTACGGTATATCAGAGACGGCTAAATCCTTCTTAAACAAATACAAGGCTTGAAAGTTTTGATAATCTAAGACTTTAATATTATTTAATATATCTAAATAAACATAAATTAAACACTCAGAGATCTCACAGGAAAGGTCAAACATCTTTATGTCATTTATTTTTGGTTTATTGTGAACTGTAAACTCAGTAAATTAAATCTGATTATTATTATTTATTTATTTTCATAAAACATGTTGATCTATAGAATTAAAATTAACCTGAAATCTGTGAGAAAGACTTATGGGCCGATTTTTCAATTATTTTTCTCTCTGTCTTTTGGCGGATTGCAAGCCAATATAAAAAAAAAAGAAGGACACTGCTGGAACAGATACAGCTACTACACACACACACACACACACACACACACACACACACACACACACACACACACACACACACACACACACACAGTAGCCCTTAGACAGGAAAGCACAGCTATTATAATGTGGGAGCATATAATGTACAAAACCACACACCTTGAACATTGACAATTCTACTGCTACTACTTGCTATGTTTTCTAATGGGATGACACATTATCACAAAAAGGTTGATATTAAATGTGTCATACCCACTTGAAAAGGTTGAAAGTATAACCTGTAATGCATCTTTAATCTGCTAGAGTTCCCAGTACAGGAGCTGCCCCCCCGCTGTCCTCTCCCTGTCTCATCATACTTCTCTAACATGACATTGCGTGCCCTCTGTCCCAGGCACCCAGCGAGTACGAGGCCAACCCAGAGATGCTCTTCTACCGCATCACGCACCTTACCCGCGGTAAACAATACCACATCTGGTCTGCAGCCGTGACAACCGCTGGCCGTGGCAACATCAGCTCAAAGGTCACGGTGGAGCCTGCTGGGAAAGGTGGGTCCTCCGGGCGAGCCTGTAGTGGAGGAGAAGGGTAAAGAGATCTCTGTAAAGGTTATGAGGCAGCGCGCTCTTAAGATGGCTATGAAACTGCAACATGATCTCCCGTTAACACAGATCACTTTCATCACTCGCGCTTCTCCTCGCACTCCGTCCCGCTCTCCGTTATTGATTGACAGCCGTATTATTGATTGAGTGGCGGCTGTGTTGCAAGAGACGCTGTTGTTAATTATGTGGTGATGAACTGGGCCTATCCAGTAAAATGACCCTTGGGGAGAGAGATAGCCAGAGAGAATCAATAGAGGGGAGGATCTATGGAGAAAAGATAGACTGACACTGAGAGGTCAGGGGAGGGGCTACGCTAAACCAGCTCTCTATTCCCTCAGCGGTAAGGTAAGGCCTTTAGGCAAACTGGGCCACTCATTCAGCGCTGACTGGCAGATACACATCAGAACGTACAAAGACAAACTTCTTGTTGAGACACTTGCTGAAGCACATTCTTTTAATGGATTGATTTTATTGTATTTTGATGTATTTTGTTAGATCTATCACTTTCTATGTGTCAAAGATTGATTATTTTTGTGTGTGTGTACAGTCCCGGGTAAGATCTTGTCCTTCGGCGGCACGGTGACCACACCCTGGATGAAGGAAGTGCGTCTTCCCTGCGGCTCCGTGGGAGAACCCGCTCCCACAATTAAATGGACCAAAGACAGGTCAGAGATCAACTTCTACCTCTTATATGTCAGCGCCATGACTCACCGAGAACTTTCCTCTGGGATGAGATCAATAACATCTGTATCTGTTTTGGCTCCTTCAGTGACGACACTGCCATCCCTGTGACGGCGGACAGTCAGCGGCAGATCCTACCCAACGGCACACTGGTGCTGCGTTCGGTCAAAGCGGAGGATTCTGGGTACTACACCTGCACGGCCACTAACACTCTGGGCTTTGACACCATCATAGTCAACCTGGTGGTGCAAGGTGAGGAGAGAGATGTGTTTAAGGGGAACTCCAGTGGAGGATGTGTTTGTTTAGTGGTGTTTCCGCTCTGTTGCTGAGTCTCTCTCTCTCTTTACTCCCAGTTCCTCCAGATCAGCCTCGCTTGACCGTCTCCACCACCTCCACCTCCTCCATCACCCTTGCTTGGATCCCTGGGGACAACGGGGGAAGCTCCATCAGAGGTGAGATTTTCTGTGAACAGAGAACACCTGCCCTCCAACAAAAGATCTATCTGATTTTGTGACGGATATTTTTCAATGTGCTTCACCTTTGTTATATCATTTATACAAATAAGATAAAAATAAGAGTTACTTTATTGATCCAAATTTGGGAAATGTTTTCGTCACTGCAGCGTGTTAAACTAGGCATTGCAAATAATGTGAAAATAAAAAAGTAATACATAAACAACTACAAAATAGAAATATCTCAAAATACTAAAAGTAAAATAATGTTGACAGTGAAAGATAAAAAATCTGTCAGAGGCCAAATTACAGCTAACAAAATGTTAAAGTAGGACATTATTTACATTTTAAAAGTAGGATATTGTTTACATAATTGCATCAACACATTTATAATGCACATAACAGTGTAGACACTATTTCTAGGCATTAAGTAGACATACTAAAAGTGATTGTAGCTGATGGTTGCCCCCTGGTGTCCAACAGATGCAGCAGCAGGGAGAATGCTCCACGTTTTAATTCCCTGAATGTGCAGTACTTGTTCTAAATGACTTGTGTTGGTGTTTCTGCAGGATTTGTGCTGCAGTACTCGGTGGACAACACGGAGGAGTGGAGGGACGTGTTCATCAGCTCCAGTGAGCGCTCCTTCAGGCTGGACAACCTGCGCTGTGGAACCTGGTACAAGGTCAAGTTGGCCGCCAAGAACAGCGTGGGCTCAGGACGCATCAGTGAGATCATCGAGGCCAAGACACATGGAAGAGGTGAGGGGGGACGGGGGACGTGATGAAGACATGCATGAAGCAGGAGACCAGAGATATAAATCTGGGGACACCAAAAGGAATATAGTTGTTTTTGGCTTTTTCAGTCCTGTTTAGTGTTTGTTTTAAAGGGGAACGCCACCTAAAATAGGAATTCCAATATTTTATTTCCATGGCCTAATACAGTCCAATCAAAATGTGTGAACATAAGAACAGAAAATCTGCTCATATACCGAGAAAAATCCCCTTGGATATTATTTTTCCATCTTTCCTAATTCTTTGTCAATTTAGCATTTAGCTCATTTGAGGTTTTAGCACTATAGTTGTGGATTTGGGTGAGAGTAGTTCATGTTTGCTAATATTTTCCGACAATCCTATACTTAAGAAATAACATATATGAATTATGGAAATGGACTTAGTTCCACTTTAAAGCGTTGTGATTTGCCTTTAAGAGGCTTTATGCCGATCATGAGCATATACACATATGTGTCAGTCCAATAATAATCCTATGGTTGCTCTTTTCCACCTACTTAATACTATTTAAATAAATACTAATAGCAGTATTTTTCCAGGTGTTCGTTGAAACATCACAAATAAATTCAGATATATGATGTTGCCAGTACCTGTTTCATTCTAACATGTGTATTTTCCTCTCTTGTGAACAGAACCGGTATTCAACAAGGACCAGCCGCTGCTCACACACATCAACTCCACCCACGCGGGGATCAACCTGCAGGGCTGGACCAGCGGCGGCTGCCCCATCACCGACATGATGCTGGACTTCAGACCCAAAGGCACCTGGGCGTGGCAGAGCCTCAAAGCCAACTCCACCTCTCAGCTGTTCCTCAGCGAGCTGCGTGAGGCCACCTGGTACGAGCTGAAGATGAAAGCCTGCAACAGCGCCGGCTGCGGAAACCAGAGCTCCCAGTTTGCCACCACCGACTACGACGGCAGTGAGTGTCCGACATATGTTTATTTTTGAGTGCCTCTCTCACTGCATGTTCTATTCTAAAGGTGGTCTTCCTTTCCGCAGGTACAATCCCTCCCATTAGATCTGCTCGTGGAGAAGGGGATGACGTGAAGAAGCTGTTCTCCATCGGCTCTCCCGTCATCCTGGTCACTCTGGGCGTCGCTTTGCTTTTTATTATCCGCAAGAAACGCAAGGAGAAGAGGCTCAAACGACTTAGAGGTGAGAGGGAGGGAAAAGGAGTAGTTCAGACAGAGATCGGTGTTATTGTGTGTAATGAAGTGTATCTTCACGGCCTAACAATCTCTAACTAATATCTTGTCTTCCTATAGATGCTAAGAGCCTTGCGGAGATGCTTATCAGGTAAGAGACCGTTTTCCTTTGGTGCTATTGTTAATGCCTGCTGTGAAGAGGAAGTCATATATCTTGTAAGCGCAACCCCAAAGATAATGTGTCTTTTCCATGTGTGCAGCAAGAACAATCGCAGTATAGACACTCCGGTGAAGGGCCCTCCTCAAGGGCCGAGGCTCCACATTGACATCCCACGTGTCCAGCTACTCATCGAGGACAAGGAAGGAATCAAACAAATAGGCATGTGGCAGCAACACAAAGTTCTTCTAGCTTGTGTTACTTGTGTGGGTTTTATTTTGCCTGACTGTTTATCTTCATGTTTTGCCTGCAACAGGAGAGGACAAGGCAGCAGTGCCTGTGACAGACACTGAGTTCAGCCAATCAGTGAATCCGCAGAACTTCTGCACAGGCGTGTCTCTGCACCACCAGGCCCTCATCCAGAACTCAGGGCCTTTGATCGACATGTCCGACATCCGCCCAGGCACGAGTGAGTTTGTATTTCTAAGCAAAAATGTGACGGTACACTAAATAAATAGAGCAGGTAAATCCAAAGAGAGCTTTATCTGCAAATATTGGCAATTCAATATAATGATGTATTCTTGATGCATTAATGCTATTAACTGCATGTAAATACGAAGAAAAATTGCTTTCTTTAACGTGACAAATGCAGCGTCTACAAACTAGAGTTAGTTGCAATATGCACCTTTTTTATAAAGTTAGTTTGTAAACCGCCTATTAACACAGAGAAGACGGACACAAGAGTTGCTGCTGTGGATCTTTTTCACAGAGAGACAACACATGTTTTTTGATGTACTTGAGGAAAATAGATAAACAAACATGTTCTTTGTTTTGGTTAATTAACGACAATCAGGAAGGTTTGGTTATTTCCGAGCTAAGGAATAATAAATCATCCGTCTTTGCTCGCTGCATCTTAACCTTTCTTACCCTCAGGTGTGCATAAACTACAGGTTATGAAGTCTTTTTTTTAATATATCTTTGTGATGGAGGTTATTTTATCGGTATCGACCATGACAAAACTGGTAATTAGCGGTTATAGCTTTCAAATGAAATAAATCGATAATCTCTAACCCTAATCTCATATTGAATTATACTTCATCCACTAGAGTCAGTAAAGTCAGTATCTAGCTTTCTTCTCGATCGATACATGGATACACAGTGTTTGTAACACCGAGCTGTCCTCTGATCCCCTCTCAGACCCCGTGTCCAGGAAGAGTATAAAGTCCGCCCACAGCTCCAGGAACAGATACTCCAGCCAATGGACGCTGAGCCGGCCGAGTCAGAGCCAATCGACGGCCTCCGCCCGAACTCTGACCTCCGACTGGCGGACCATGGGCTCTCACGGCATCACCGCCACAGAGAGCGACAGCTACAGCGCCAGCCTTTCGCAGGACACAGGTGGGTCATCACAGCGAGGAACCATTGCTCAACGACATTGATAACATTATTTTATACTAATTATTTTATGTCTTTTAAAAATAATGTATAGCAAATGGCAGTTCTTCAATAAAAAATCTCCTGAAAATATGTTAGTTCTTTATAAGAAAAATTCAGTCTTCTAAATATTTTCAATTTAAATCCTCCACGGGCAAATCTATTCCACACGTGATGTAATATACACCTATGTAGTATCATACAAGAATATTTTTAGAAAGGGTTTTCAAAGGGTGGTCAAATGTTAGTCCATCCATCCAGTGGCATATAAACAATAGATACATCATAAATGCATCTGGAGAAAATATATTCCATCTTTAACCTTCCTAACTATACTGCACTGAAAACAGGGGAATAAATAACAGATTATAAAGTGACTAAATACAAATAGTGTCATTGGAATAAGCGTCAAGGTTACACATCAAAATAAATAAGGATATAGTTGCCCACTCACATAAATTCATAAACCATAAATGAACTCAACAGTTTCAGTTTCTCCAAAGGGTCTGTATCTGGTCATAATACTTTTCTCAATACAAAATATCATAAATAATGTTATTTTATCAGTCAAACCGAAATTGTATCCAGTTTTTTTAATACATTTACAATACGTATGTGTTCCAGATAAGGGTCGGAACAGCATGGTGTCTACAGAGAGCGCCTCCTCCACCTACGAGGAGCTGGCGCGGGCGTACGAGCACGCCAAGCTGGAGGAGCACCTGCAGCACGCCAAGTTCACCATCACCGAGTGCTTCATCTCTGACAGCTCGTCCGACCAGATGACCACCGGCACCAACGACCCCGCGGACAGCATGACCTCGCTCAGCACGCCGTCTGAACCCGGCATCTGCCGCTTCACCGCCTCGCCGCCCAAACCGCAGGACTACGACCGCCGGCAGAATGTGGCGGTGCCCATTCCCCACCGCGCTAATAAAAGTAAGTTCCAAAGGAGGCAGGAAAATCTGACTTTTCCTTGATCAGGCACAGTGAGGATACTCAATGTGGAGGCAGATTCTTGCTTCTACTACGTTTTATTTGGACCAGCCATACCCTGACACACACGACTGAGAGTAATGGGAAGCAAGAGACTAAATCCAAAGTAGGAAATATATAACTACAAATAATAAATTCAATAGGGCTTGAATAGATATTTCTCCAAACAAATACAAATATGAAGTGGGGATTAACTAGAATCTGTGGGGAAAGGTATCACCTGCACACAGTTGACCAGGCCGCCTAAAGCTACACAGAGAAGCAAGGAGTAACACTGATATTTCATGTCACACGCAAAGGCTTGATTTCTTTTCACATATATTAAGAATCTACTTAAAACCAAAAACGCACACAGAAAAAACACATACTAAAAATAAAACTAAACAAAAATGTGAAAATAGTATAGCTATAAGCATATATATGCCTTGCATCTATATATTTATATATGATCATAGATCATTTCACAGATAGTTGTTATAGAAACGACATTGCAATAGAAAAATAAATAATAAAGTATTAATTCAAATAATTGCATATGATACAAGCTTTAAAATGTTATAAATATATATATATGTATAAAATGATACAGGATGGTCGTGTTGTAGGTGTGGGGTGATGGTGACAGTGTTCATAATGTGACGCTCGTGTTAAGAAGGCCCTGCTGTGTGACACGGGAGCTGTTGCAGTCTGTAACTGCATTAAAACAGGAAACCATGAATGACTTTAATCTTAACCTCTCGCCTCTCTCAGGTGAATTCTGCAACCTCCCCCTCTACATGAAGACAGACCCATTCTTCCGTAAGCAAGGGGAGCTGCACGACCCCTGCCCAGTGGTGCCGCCGCGGGAAGCCTCCATCCGCAGCCTGACGCAGCGGGCGTACCACACCCAGGGCCGCCACAAGACTCTAGACCCCAGCAAGCAGCAGGTCCTGACGCTGGGCCACTCCGGGCTGAGCAGCCTTGGGGCCAGCTCGGGCACCTCCACCCTCCCCCAGAGGACTCTCACCATGCCCAGCTCTAACACCGCGGCCACGGCCTCCACCTCCAGCACGAGCAGCAACTGCAACAAGGTGGGCGGCTCCAGAGACTCGCTGCTGGAGAGCAGCTCCTCCGCTCTGGGGAGACTGCAGAAACAGAGCGCGGGGGCGTACTCCAAGTCGTACACGCTGGTGTAGCCTCCGCCCCGCACAGACTCGCTGCCCCGCTGCTTCAGTCTGGCTCAGAAAGGGCATGCCACCATCTTTCTATAAAACCTGACTAACGGTGAACTGCCCAGCGGGACAGGTTCCTCCCAGACAGAGACCCAGCTAACCCTACGTTAATGTTCACCTGGGACTCTTTAAAAGAATTACTAACTCCAACTAACAGATCCAGCCGGCTGGTGCTCGGCTCCGCCTGCAGGAGTAGCACAGTTAAAAAAAAAACAGGACGTGCTTCTGTGGTCATTTGGATATATTGACTTTAATTGAGGAGCTGAAGCTCTTTGTTTATGACGATGAAGACTACGATAGCCAGTATGAAGCTGTGTGGCCATCCTGTCTCTCATGCACACACACATACTCCTCCATAGTTTCAGTATTATTGTCAATTTGCAGGACTTCCAGTTAAGTTCCCTATTCTTACTGTTTCTCTCACCCTCTGTGTGTCTCCTAAAGTCCCATAAAGCTATTAGCATATTTTCTCTTTACGGCGAATCCAAAAGAACAGATTCAGGTTCTCCTCCAGGAAAGATCTATCCCATAAACGCCCTGCACACGTCTCTCTCCAGCTGAACCGTGTCTCACTTTTGAAACAAATCACGACAACCCAAATAAACCCGCCATAAGTTCTCACATCACAAATAGAGAATATTTGGTATTATAAAGAATTTACATATATATTTCTATGTAGGTATATTATTGACATTTAAATGAAATTATGACAAAGTATAAATTGTATGTACTACCATAGTGTAGTAGTATATACAGCAATTTAATGTTAATGTCAAATTTAAGAACAAGACAATCGCTCAATCATGGAATTTAAAGAAGAGAAATTTAAAAAAGGTTGGACTAAAGAAAGGAAATTAAAGTATGTATACGGGGTGCTCTGTATGTTACTGTATGTAGAGCGCCTAAGAGAAGAGTGTTTCCTGTATGGACACAGAGCAGCCCTTTACAAGCCCAATGTTGAGAGGGGAAAATACTTTTAAAATTATATTTTAGTTTCAGTTTCTGAAAGGCAGGCTGGCTGGGTTAACCAAACACAATCCCCCTGGTTTAAACTCTGCTGTGTGTTTATGATGGAAACAATCATGTCATATTTCAAAGATCCATGAATGAGGTTTATGTTATTTACAGTATTAATGCTTCGGTGACCACTTCCCGCCTGCCTTGGTGACACTCAGCCGAACATCAGAAAGAATCCCAGTGATGATGTGAATGAAGTCAAAATAATATAATAATGAGCGATGTTATATGTCAGGGAGTTCCGCTTTGAAAAATGATATAATGTTCACACAATTGATATCTTTGTTGTTGCCCTGTCTGAAGTACTGTACATGTCCCGCCTTCTTTATCCCCCCCCTCCATTTTGTACATTCACACGTTACCTATTGGAATGTCTTTTTGAAGCATCTCCATGATAGCGTTTTGTGCTTTATATTTATTTATCCATTTTGCTTTGTTTGTTTATGGGACGGGGTGTGTGTTGGTTTTCATTCATCATATTTGTTTTTATTTTTATTTTAGTTTTTGGGTTTTTGTCAAATGTTTTGGTTCCAGAGGCCGAACAGTACTAAGGCCGGTGGGTAGATCCAAGTGAAATCAGGGACTCGTAGCTATTCGTCACACAAACTGCTGTTGTGTAAATACTGGACTGGAGTCGGTCCGCAAACCTGAAGCATTCTGACTCCTGGTCCCCCCCCCCCC